TGTCTAGCATAACCAGTGTTTTGGTGGCCCCAACCCCACCTTTATCCTTACCCTGAAGCTCAAAGGGAACCTTGGCCAATAAGAATGCTGTCAGTATCAAACCAAGTATACACCCCAAAATACCACACAGGGAGCAGTGCGGCCACTGTTGAGTCAGCAACCAAGGAGTAAAACGGCTAACAGACCAGACGGCTGCTGGCCACTTTGGGAGAGATTTCTTCAGACACGGCCTAAAGCACAGCTTTTCTAAGGTACTTCTTTCAAACATTATAGAAAGAGTGAAAGGATCCTGGGCGTTTCTGTCCCTAGACCCCACTTTGTATCAGCATGCCACCTGAGACTTATTGTTACCCTGACTCTCTGGGTAAGCTGCAGAGATCCTGACAGGGGAGTCTGCACTCCACCCACGGCAGTAACTTATAACATCCTACCTTTATTGTACTCAGAGGACTGAGGAGAGCCCACAGCACCAGGTTCTCCAACTGCCCCAAACCACAGCTACAGGCTTCACCTACAGGCATCTGTCACAATATAGCCTCAGGCTGGCCTTCAACTCAATAAGCATCCTACACTAGTCTTGAATTTTTGATCTTTTAACATCAGTACATCCACCGCCAGAAGGACAAGTGAACACCGCTCCACAGCTTGGTTTTGTAGTTATCTTAGTAACATTTTAAATATATGTATATGTATGTCAGAGGTCAGAGGGCAATTTTCAGGACTCAGTTCCCTCCTTCCACCATGTAGGTCCCTGAAATGGAACTCAGATCAACAGGCTTGGAGTCCTTCCTGCTGAACCACCAGACCCTCGGTTTGTATTTTTCCAAATAGAAGCTGATCTAGATTTACTCGTAGCATTTCACCATTACACTTTAGCCTGCATTCTTAAACCAGGAGTTTTTGGCTTATGAATAATTCAAGGCCCTAAAATAAAACCAGGCCTCTATGTGCTTGTAGAGTGCTGTGTCCTTGCTTGCTTTGGGTAGTGTCTTTTAAAAATTAAAAAGGCTTTAAAATTTTTTAAAAATTATATTAAAAATTCTTAGTGTGTAGTGTGTGTGTGTGTGTGTGTGTAGTGTGTGTGTGTGTGTGTGTGTGTGTGCGCGCACACGTGCGGGATGTTCCCCTCACCTTACAATGCTGTGACAGGAGCTGTGCTGAGCTCTAACTCTTAGACTCTCTGCATTTCTGTGGTCCTGCAGAAGGTATTCCCTTCTCTCCAGGAAAAAAAATGGAAATCATGATGTCTTCCAGTGGAAGGATTCGAAAGGAAAAGTGGACAGATGGACGTGGACGTGGCTGTGGCACTAACAAGCACAGTCAGTGCAAATTCTGCCTCTGAAGCAGTAGCCACAGACCAGGCCTCCAGGCTGGGTGACACTGAGGATGAGACACAGCAGGGAACCTGAGTGACACAGTACTGTAGGGCAAACACACAGTAAAGCTGGTGTACTCTGGCTGTGCCTCTGGCTTGCCACTGGCTCACCCCTCTCTCCCAGGACACTTACCCAGGTTCTCTGGAGCCACGGCTGTCCTTAAGCTCACTATGTGCCCTGGACTTCTGATATCCCTGTTTCTACCTCAGGAGTGCTGTTCACCATACTCGACTTCCTGAGGTGCTGGGGACTGAACCCTGGCCTTCACAGACTATAGGCAACCACTCAACCAACCACCGAGCAACACTCCCAGTTTCTTCTCTCACACTTCTACGTGACTAACATATCTCAGTGAAGGAATTCAGGAATCCCACAGTAGGCCTCCTCTCCAAAGGCAGAAGCAATCTCTGGAAAGGTGTGCAGCCTTCACAGACAACCTCCCCCAGGAGGTCACCCTCCACACCAATAGTGACACAGCAGACAATTTGACACGCAGCGCAGGGAGGGTGCACAGGCGCACTCCTGCACCCTGCCCAGAGCCGAGTCACTCCGAGGGTGGGTGACAGACAGCAACCCAAACACTGTTCAGAGAAGGAATCCTCACTCTTTCAAGAGTCTTATTCTGGCAGTTTCCCTGCCTTGTTTTAAGACTATAGGTAACTCAGCTAGGTGTGGTGATGCACGTCTTTAATCCTAACACTTGGAAGACAGAGCCTGGTCTACCAAGAGAGCTAAGGTTACACAGAAAAACCCTGTCATGGAAACAGCCCCTTCTCCCCCCAAAAAAGTGTGTAACAGTGGACCCCATTCTCAGCCCACCAGCACTCGCTCACATGATGCATGCCCTGAGCGTGTCCTGAATTAGTCGCCTCCCCATGTCGCACAGTCGCCCTCACTCAGCACATCAGCACATTGTCGTGCTAGGAAATGGAGGGTGAGGGCCGACTTCTCCACCTGCTTCCTGCGGGGTTTCTTCCCCAGTTCTTAGAGACAAAGTAAACATCAACCAACCCGTGAGCCAGCAAGACCTTGTGAGAGAAAGAGCTGCACGCTCTCCAGTCCCCACCAGGCTCCCACCGCCACTGCCACCCAGGGTTCACTGGAGACTACTCAGCACAGGGTGACAGGGTAGGGCAGCAAAGGTTCTAGTCTGCCTGCCCCGCTTCCTTCTCTGGTCACTGACATCTTCCTGGCTGAGCTGTCCCTGCCTGGAACCTGGCCCTGAGGTGGGTGAGCTGAGCTCCAGGGCCAGCCATGGAGGGCAGGAGAGGCAAGACTGCAGACTTCAGGAATCATGTCCTACTAGTCTTCACAGGCAACTCAGACATGCTACAGTAGTCTAGAACAGATCAGCAGCTTGGGATCCATGAGCAAATCCAGCCCGCTATCTGCTTGTGTAAATAAAGATTTGTTGGACAACAGACAACTTTCTTCTGTGGCTGCTTTTGCTCAGGGTCAAAAATATTTACAGTCTGGACTTTACTTGAGAAAGTGCCAATTCCAGACTAGACCTTTGCTGTTCCATTCGACAACCCCTGGCTGACACTTATCTAAAAGAATTTGATTTATCAGCTGTACATTTTAAGTGCTTGATGGTCACATGTGGCCACAGGCTAGGATAGTGGACGTCAATAGAGTGCATTCCCAGCACAGCAGGCTATTCTCTTCGACAGTGCTGCAAGCGCAGAATCTAAGTCATCAAGCTAAATTTACAGTCATGTCCTCTTCCCTTAGAGGCAGCTAGGGCTGTGCCAGGTTAAACTACACCCCTTTCACACCTGAATTTTCAGGAATGGCAAATCTGACACATTAACCACTACCAATATCAGTAGCTGCCAAACTACCTGAGACGGCAATCGGGTAAGCAGCAGTGTTCCTTGTTTACTTGACTGCCCCCACGCCAGTGCATCTGCATGTTCCAAGTTAGGATCAGCCTGGTACATGGTATTTACCATCATGAGGCATGTAAAATGAATAAGAAATGAACACTGGGTGTACAACTGTCATGCAAAAAAGGGCCACTGAATTGAACAGACAACAAGAGCACTGCAGAGCAAACTGTAACCCCTTGCAAGATAGTCTATTACAGCTACCATTGATTCGTGAAAGTATTTTTAAAGATTGCAAACAAAACAGCCTCCTGGATTTGGACTCTAGTTCTACTATCTAAGGGCTATGCAATCTTTGGCAAATTGTATTCCCTTTCGGGTGAAAGACTCCTCTATCTCAAAGGGCCTGTCCTTCCTTCCCAGTACCTCAAGTCCCTGTGCTCCCCACAGCTGCCTGCCCAGGAGGCATTTCTTTCTGTCCTTTCTCCACCCCTCTCTGGCAGGGCTCCTGGGGAAGGGGTGCATACTAGTCATTTTAAATGATCTTCAGCACTGGGCTCATAGTAGTGCTTACAGCAAGTTTAAGACAAGTTAAGGTGTTTGCTTTAAGAAGTTTTTTTTTTTATGAGGAAATCAAGCGTTCTTTGAGATTTAAAATTAGAAGCTAGCCCACCTGTTTGCATTACAAGCACGTTTTAGATTGCTACAGGTTACCTTTTCTTAAACCTTCAAGTCCCCTGGGTGCTTCACTACCTTCCTCAACAATTAGATATTAAACCAAGAGGGGACAACTCCAAGACAGGCACAGTAAAGCCTGGAACTAACAACAGGGCCCTCACAAATTAAAGATTCTATTTATAAAATATAAAACCAAATGATACTATTTTAGAACAAATTCATAATCCAAAGAAGAACTAGAGTATCAGTGCCTAACAAAAACCAGAAGCCTCACCAACCAAATTTGTTGGGGTTGGAGAGATGATGATTCAGTTTTCCCAGCACCTGTATGGTGGTTCATAACCATCCATAACTCTAGTTCTAGAGAATCTGACCGCTGGGGGTACCAGGCATGCATGGTGCACATACACTGATGCAGGCAAAACACAATACATATAAAATAAAAAAAAAACCAACAACTGTTATCTTAAATGTGTTAATATTGGCCTTCTACACATAACCAGTCGCCTTACTGCTAACTAGCCAATGGTTCAAAATCAAAATACGAATAGCAGTCTGAGTCCTGCAGCTAAGGCACCTTCTGTTCTCTAGTCACCCTCTGCTTCTTCCTGGCGGTCTTACATTTAGTCATTGTGGAAGCCAATTGCTACAGCATCTCAAGGTAGGGGGAGGGTGGAGAAAAAGCTACATATTTGTTTCCCACAGTCTGGGCATTCCTGTGACCTATATACACACGGAAAACTTGTTGCCCTTTTAAATCTTAAGGAAGCCTTTGTAAATGCAAAACATTTCTTAAGGCTGCACTAAAGCTAACAGCTAACATTTAAAATAAGAAGACCAGCAGATCTTAGGATTTCAAGCAGAAGCATATTTCCCTTCCGGCTGCAGGACTAGAGTGCACATCCTCCAAAAGGAAGTTCTCTTCTGATCAATTCTGTACATTCTGCCTGAAGTTCATCCTTAATTCAAAACCCTTACAGTATTAAACAACACCGACACCAAGGTAACACAAACTCTGAGTGCGAACAACTTGGCCAGGCCGGCCGCCGGCCCGCCTCTCCTTCCTTCCCCAGGCAGTGACTTCACATCCTTTGACATCAGCACAGCCTCGAAAGGGGGGGGATGGGAGAGCAGGCAGAAAGCAGAAAAACCAGCTTTGAACTCTGCGTGCAAGGCCTCCTGAGCCACAGGCCCCGTAAGTAACGTGTAGAATGCCCACCAATTGGTGGGGACACCCCGGTCTGCTCAGGGGCAGTCCCATCAATGTGGAGGGGGTACTGCTGGATAGACTTCCTGCTTTTTCTATCCAAAGCACAATAGCCATTTATTAACTACCCACGGAAGGTTCCGGTCAGTAGAACACACAATAACTCACCTCGAATGTGGAGAAGGGCCACGGGCTGGAAAGGCCCGTTGGAGCTGGCCGCATCCACCACCATCCCGCTGCCCGCCTTATTACATGTCAACATCTAGGCTCCAGCGGGAAGGGCGCTGTACTCCTTAAGGCAAGAAACCAGCCTCCATTTTAGTTTAAAAAAAAAAGAAGACAAACTGAAGCTCTCTGCAGCTGGAGGGAACTGGCTGCTTCGTGATGTCAGTGGGCATGGAGCTCGCTGATTGGCCAGAAACTGCAACTTAAAATGACACTGGAAAAAAAAAAGCCTGCAAACGGAAAGAGCGTTCTGTTGGCTGTCAGTGTGTGTGCACGAAAAGCCTGGGCATTTTCCGGCTTTCTACAGTCTTTATTTTTCACTAACTTTTAGGCAAGGATCCTAGCTCTCAGGGGATGGCGCTTGTATTGTACCTTCTACCTCCCAGCTCTTATTTCATTCCTTTAGTACGCTTTCTTTTTTCTTTCTTTCTTTTTTTTTTTAATGTTAGGGGTTGAACCTAGGACCCAGTGCTCTCTAGACAAACCGGCTACTATGTTCTACCCCCAGCCATAAGACTCACTTTAGGAGCATTCTGTGTCCTGGCAACACAGTTCTTAAAAAAGTAATGGCTATGTGAATATTACAAAACCCCAATGCATTAGTGTTCTGCTTCCTTCTTACTACCGAAAGGGCAAATGAGGGACTTATAATCAGGACAAAAATTTTCTTCCTGAGACATTTTTACTCCCAATCTCAAATGAGGGTTAAAAAAAAAATCTATGAAAGAACTGCTTAATCAATAGCCAAGAAGTACTACTATGAGACTTTTTAAAGAGCACAGAATGGGGGAAAAGGACATAAGTTAAAATGCTATATCTGGTTTGGTTTATTTATTTATCGTGTGTGTGTGTGTGTGTGTGTGTGTGTGTGTGTGTGTGTGTGTGTGTATCTCCACAACTCAGGATGAATTACAGGGAAACAGTTCTCTCTTCCCACAATATGGGTCCCAGAGAGCAAACCTGGGTCTCCAGACTTGGTGGCAAGTAACTTTACCTGCTGAGCAATCTGGCCACCTCTATTTTTTGTAGTTTAAAAATGTTAATATGTTAGATCCTTTAAGTTTTGCTTTCTTTACATTCAAAATTAATTTTTCATTTATTTTTGTTATGCTACTATTCATATCTTTTTTTAAAAAAGTTAATGTAAAAATCTACTCTCAGGAGAAAGACTACTTCCAAACTGGAGCACTGTCGGCTGTTGGCGAGATGATTTCTCTACAAAAAGGATGTTACTGCTAGGTCCAAAGGGAAGCAAATAGAAAATAGAAGGGATCTCTGGCAGAACTGAAAGATGCTTCACCTCATAGAAAAATAAACATTTCTGTAAGTATGCTGTGCCATTTTATAACCTGCTCAATTCAAGAACAAGATAAAGAGCCCTTTAAACTCTTTTTTAAAAAAATATTTATTTATTATGTATACAATATTCTGCCTGTGTGTATGTCTGCAGGCCAGAAGAGGGCACCAGATCTCATTACAGATGGTTGTGAGCCACCATGTGGTTGCCGGGAATTGAACTCAGGACCTTTGGAAGAGAAGGTAATGCTCTTAACCTCTGAGCCATCTCTCCAGCTTGCTCTTTAAACTCTTAAACACACCTGACACGCTGGCCAGTTACTTCTATGTGTCTAGCCTAATAATTGTGGTGAATGAATAGATAACCCATTCATGAATGAATAGATAACTGGACCCTCCCTCACCAATGAGACCATCGATTTTACGTTTTCAGTAACTGTTAAGGCAATTCAACAGGAAAAAAAAATCTAAGCCTATTTGTATCTCTACCCTGTTTCCCTCAGAGCCATAGGGGCTGCGGGATTCTACAGCTTGGCAGAGAGGAGGATCTTGCCAGGCTAGATGGAACTGCAGCTTCAGGCACGCCAGTCCTAGCAATCCTGGAACATTGAAGCACTTGCATATGCAGGCTACACAAGAGATTCCGCCTGCCCACTTGTCTCCAGGAGTTTCTCAATTGACCCCACTTTGTCTCTCAAGAGAGTTTATCCCCCTTCCCTAGTCAGGCAGTACTGAGGACAAGGCACACCTCCCTCACCATCACCTTCTTATTCAAGGAGTGATGCCAGGTGAACTCAGACACCAAGAGCAATGGGGTCTACAAACAAATACTTCTTGTACTCTGCCTATCAATAATTTACTATTTCAAAGGGGGTGAAATGGGGATGTGCACACCCTATGGCTCTGCTGACGAACTGGAATACAGAAATACAGCGGAGAAGATGCCTAGAAGCTTTATATAACATAGACAGGTTCAAAGGCAAAGAAAGTGAAGACACTTTTTGATGTATTTTTCCTAATGATCTTAGATCTAAGGATTTCAAACTTTATTAGTGATTTCTCCCATATTCTTTGAAACTGTATGCATATAAAGTAGTTCTTTAAAGAACTCTAAGAACTCTAATCTGGAAATCACTGATAAAACATACTGCAGATGGGATGACGGGGCACACCGTACTCTCAGCACTCAGCTGGAGCAGGAGTTTGTGATAGACTAGACTATACAGTCGAACTCTATTTAAAAATAAAAAAGGGGGGGCTGGAGAGACAGCTCAGAGGTTAAGAGCATTGGCTGCTCTTCCAGAGGTTCTGAGTTCAATTCCCAGCAACCACATGGTGGCTCACAACCATCTGTAATGAGATCTGGTGTCCTCTTCTGGCATGTAGGTGTACAGGCAGGAGGAATAGTGTATACATAATAAATAACAAGAAAAACAAAAAGATGCCCCTAAACCTCTAAAAATATAAACAAACAGGAGAAAGGGGGAAAAAACTAACAGTCAGGAGATGTGTTCATGAGCTGGAGGTACAGATATCTGTAAAGATAGTCGAGTTAGAGCCTGACTAAATGCCTGATATTCTTTTCCACTCAAAGTCCAGATGGGTCTCTTTATTTTCCAAGATAAATGATAAAATAAAATACAAGAATGAGGACAATTCTGAAGAGAGAGGCTGGTGCCACCAACTATAAAGCCAATTGATTATAACAGTGTGACCAGGCACACATGAGAGGAAGAACAGGGGGACACAAGCAGTGACCCAGCAGACACATTCAGGCGATGCACAATAAACCATGTCAGTGGACTGGAGAAGGGTGACAGCTGCTAAATTATATGCAGGAAAAGTCAACTGAAATCTTTTCTCACACCAAAATAAACCTGGTATGAATTAGATAAGCAAACAAAGCAAATCACAACTACTCCAACTCCCACAGCTTTCAGACGGGAAGAATCACTCCACAGCTAGAGAAGGATGCTTACAAACACCTGACGGAGACTGCTCAAATCTGAAGCTAGTTATTTTGTATGTTCCAGAATAATTAATTTAAAAACAGAAATAACCCCAAACTTTTAGAGATTCCCCCCCAAAAATATAAATACAGATTAATAAAATGTATTAGAAAAACATTAAACCTTTAGGATTTAAATGATCTAGTTCATGTAAAAAGAATAGTCAGAAAGTATTTTTTATCTGTTAGGTGAACAATATTTTGTTGTTGTTGTTGTTTTGTTTTTTCAAAACAGGGTTTCTCTGTGTAACAGCCCTAGCTGTCCTGGAACTAGCTCCTGTGGGCCAGGCTGGCCTCGAACTCACAGAGATCTGCCTGCCTCTGCCTCCCAAGTGCTGGGATTAAAGATGTGCGCCACCACCACCTGAGTCAACAGTAATCTTTTTACACTTATTTATTTTGTCTGTATTTATTTAGTGCACACATGTCACAGCACCAATGTGGAGGTCAGAGAAGCTTAGAGTCAGTTCTCTCTTCCCACTATGTGGGCCAGGGGACAGAAGCTGGGCTTGGCAGGGGCACCTCTGCTCACTGAGTCATCCCAGCTGCCCAGCTCTAATGGTACAAATGACAGTACCTGCATATGAGAAGCTCTGACAACAGAGCTATGAACTGTGCTCACTGTCTTAGAAAATAATGTTCAATTCTGGTACAAAGAAGCTTTTCTTAGTAATTTTACTTTAAGAATCAATTCTAGAAATAAAATAACCATGAATGAAACAGTTCATTCAGAACATATTTAAAAATCATGCTAAAATATGACACCATGAAATTTATTATCTCAACTGCTTAAAGATTTGTTACATTTACCTGTGTGTGTGTGTGTGTGTGTGTGCGCCCACACACATCATGACATGCATCAAAGGACCACTTGCAGGAACCAGATCTTTCCTTCTACCTGTGTGGGTCTTCTCAGGATAGAACTCAGATCGTCAGTCTTGGCAGCAAATACCTGTACAGCCCCATCTTAACCATTTTCACCTGTACAGTTCGGAGTTCTAGATCCTTTTGGTTATGCATCATGATGTGAAATTGCAGTAAGACCACTCTAAAGTTTACAACGTGCCTTCATATTGTTTTTACAGTGCTGGTACTATTTGATGTACAATATACAATACACATTGTCAGCAATACTGTATTTTTGTGTATGGTCTCAGTATAATTTTCACTTGCATAATTAATGATCAGTGATGCTGAGCTTGTATTATAGGTCTATGGGTCATTTGTGTATATTCTTCTGAGAAATGTCAACTTACATCTTTTATATATTTAAATAAAGTTGTTTTGTTGTTGCTCATGTTCTTCATATATGGTCTAGATATTAATCCACTATCAGGTAGGTGGTTTGCAAATATTTTCCTCTATTCTACAGGTTGCCCATTCTGCAGATTGTGTGTCCCTGCATATACTGAGGTTTTCGACTTTGACATAGTCCAATTTACCTAGTTTTTTTATTACACATACTTTTTAACACTGTGTCCAAAAAATTCATTGCTAAATCAAATATCATGAACTCCCTACTCCCAATTCCTTTATTTATTTATTTATTTATTATGTATACAATATTCTGTCTATATGTATGCTCGCAGGCCAGAAGAGGGCACAAGACCTCATTACAGATGGTTGTGAGCCACCATGTGGTTGCTGGGAATTGAACTCAGGAACTTTGGAAGAGCAGGCAATGCTCTTACCCACAGAGGCATCTCTCGAGCCACTCCCAATTTCTTCTAAGGGTTTTTATACTTTTGGTTCACAGATTTAGGATTTTGACCCATTTTGAGTTAATTTCTGTCTGTGTGAGAGCTAAGGATTCAACTTCTGTCTTTTGCCTGTGGACTTACAGTTCCCAGTACTCACCCCTTTGAACTGGATTTACTCTTGGCTTTCCAATATAGGCTACTGGCCTTGGGGGTCATTATGAAAAACCACAATATAACTTTGTTGTTTTAAAATCAAGATGTGGGCTGGAGAGGTGGCTCAGCTGTTAAAAACACTGGCTGCTCTTCCAGAGGTCCTGAGTTCAATTCCCAACAATCACATGGTGGCTTATAACTATCCATAATGAGATATGGTGACCTTTTCAAAATGGCCTGCAGGCATACAGAACACTGTACACATAATAAAGAAATAAAATAAAAATAAAATCCTCTAATCATTTCCTTCTTTTTCAAGATTTGGGATCTCTTGCTTTTCCCAATAGATTTTAAGATGAATTTTTCTATTTTCCAATAAAACATCATTCATATTTTGTTAGGCATTGCCTACATCTGTAGGTCACTAGGACAGCATTAACCTCTTAACCACCCTAGTCTTCCAAGCCAAAGCACAGGCTGCCCCTCACTCAGTGCTGCCTTCTATCTCTGTTATGAGTGTTTTAGAGTTTTAAGTGGAGCTGTTTTTTAAATCTTTAATAAGCTTATTCCTGCCGGGTGGAAAGAGTTTCTTAACTCTTTGATAAGCTTATTCCAGCACTCGGGAGGGAGAGGCAGGCGGATCTCTTTGAGTTCGAGGCCAGCCTGGTCTACAAGATCAAGTTCCAGGATAGGCTCCAAAAGCTACAGAGAAACCCTGTCTCAAAAAATCCTAAATAGCCAACCAACCAACCCTTTTTGGAGAAAGGGTTTCTCTGTATAACAGTCCTGGCTGTCCTGGAATTCACTTTGTAGACCAGCTTGTCCTCAAACTCACAGAGCTCTGCCTACCTCTGCCTCCCAAGTGCTGGGATTAAAGGTGTGGGCTACCACCAGCCAGCAAGAAGTTTATTCTTTGAGACTATGACATTTTATTTATGATTCTAAAACACTTACTGTAAATTACCTTAATGTCAAAGGGACTGCGATAGGCTGTTTAAGTTTACACAGTCATCAAAATATGTATGTATAAAAATCAGAAATGAGTGGAAAGGACAATACAATTTCTCACTGCCATGGAGGTCACTAATGGGCTGCTCTTTTAGACTAAGACTTCACTGTTTTTCAGCACTGCTAAAGCAGTCACATCAGCTGCTGCAAAGGGGCTGCAGAGAGGACACCTGGGAAGAGGGAACGTTCTTCAGTGGCCCAGGAGGCTTCTTGTCTGGAAATGGAGCAACACATGCCCCAACCTGTCATAGAGAGGCCCAAATTCATAATGACTCTGCTATCCCTGCTGAGTTCAAACCCAAAGTGCAGAACCCTGGCAGGATGCCACTAAACCCGGTCCCAACAAGGCCAAATGCAAGCAGTTGCAGCCATTGTTCCTCTCAAAACACATCTGTCTATCAACTGTAAACCGGGAAGACCCCTTGGCTGACAAAGCAGAGCCACTGACAAGACTTACAAAGCCACTTAGGAGACTAAGCCTGGGGCAACCACTGGGCTTGACCGACTTGGGGGCATGGGTCTCTCTCCCAGGCTAGTGTCGCCAGTGCACTGCAAGAACATGTCAAACAGGCAATAGAGAGCCCCTGGTTACACTTGGTTTTATGTCTCTTCCTGGCAGTGCAAAACTAAGAGGGGCATGCTTCCGAACCACATCAAGCACAACACTGCCCTGGCCATTAAGCAGGACCCCTCTACAGCTGGCAGATGCTTCCAGTCGCCATGTGTCTCCAGTGCTAGAGCCTTCTACACTGCTTCTCAACATTTTTCAGGCCTCCTAGGCTGGGGCTGCATTCTGAAGGGCTGGAACTAATGCCAAGATGGTGGCTGTCAGCTCAGCACAGCAGGCCTCCTACAGGAAAAGTAGCCAGTGAAGCTGTATATAGCTTTCTGTGTAGATTCTGGGTATAGAATCTTTGTACTACATGAACGACCTGAAAAGGCCTTAGGTGCTGTAGGAAGTCTTATAGCTAGTGGTAACCCGCCCACCGGGATGTGGCCTCTTGTACTATATATGCTGATGCAGACAGAGCATGCGTCCGGCCTCTTTTCCCCACCTCTCATTCTGTTCTGTTCCGGTTCTCCGTTCCAGCAGAGGATTCTTATTTGTGACTGTACCCCTAAATAAATAACCATCTATTTCTCAATTCTGAGCTAGTGTGGGATTTCTTTTAAGCGACCTTTTAAGGCTGTATTCGTTGGTTTTTCTGAAAACGTTTTATTCTCTATTTTTAAAAAACAAAACAAAGTAATAAAAAAAAACCCGCCTATAAATACATCCTATTGATTTTATTTTTTGGTAGTATTTCTGAACAAAACTTTCAAATCTTGATTTCTAAAGTTAGTCAAAGGTTTTCTTTTTCTTTCTCAACCACTCCAATCTGGCATTTTAACCTAGAAGTCTGTGGCACTGGAATGGCTGGCAGTGTGCTGGCATCAGGCAGGCTAGTGCCATTTTTTAAAACTCCTGGGAACTGTGTGAGGATGGCTATTGTGGGTCTTGTTGGGTAAGAAGCTTATAACCTAAAAACTCTGGCTTCACTTGTAGTTCAAAATAGACTTTCCTGAGACAGGTTAAAGCTCTCTTAGTATGCAGCTCTGCCAAGGCTGCCAGGGAAGTGCCTTGCCAGCACCAAGGACAAAGGGACATGCTCTGATGGCCCTGTTGATTTGAGCAAGTCTCCAGTGACTGAACAGGGTCAGGAGAGCTTATCTCTGGGGAGGGAAGTAAAGCTTGCCTACTCCAGTTCCTACGGACAGATCTGGGCTTACTTTAAATTCCTTTTTTTTTAAAAAAAAGAATTATTTATTCATTGTATTTTATGTATACGAGTGTTCTGTCTTCATGCACACCAGAAAAATTAATCTAATCCTATTACAGACAATTGTGAGCCAGCATGTGATTGCTGGGAATTGAACTCAGAACTTCTAGAAAAGCAGTTAAGTGCTCTTAACCACTGAGCCATCTCCCCAGCCCTCACTTGAATGCCTCTCAGACCAGGGCAGGTGCCCACATCTTTCTTTGCTCTGAGAATACAGGAAACCATGGACTATATAGAAAGTATCCAAGCATCTCAGAATTCCCATACTTATTATTTTGTGTAGCCTGCCTCCATCCTTGCCAGTCCTGTAGCAGATCAGCTAAGCAACTGATCTCATTTTTAAGAAGGATCCCAAGGCAGAAGAAGGAAAAGGAAGCCATGAGACTGATTGTACCTGGGCATCCTGGGCAACCTGAGAGGTAACATCATGCAGTCTCCCTGAATGCTAAAGGGATGGGGAAGGACAGGCCAGAGCTACAAGAGCTCTTCCCTACAGCAAATCCACCATGAGTTTCCTGGATCTGTACTGACAGGCCCCTGGACACTGGGGACAATGGCCAGCATATGGTGAAGGGTAGCATGTTTGAACACTTTCTTCCTCAGCATCCATAGAGGGAAGTACCCAGAACATACAATGCAACATCATTTAGCCTTAGGAAGGAGGAAAGTTCTGGTGAGCCTTCAGGGCTCCTGCTAAGTGAAGTGAGCCAGATGGAGAACAGATACAGGAGGACTCTGCTTATATGAGACTCCTGCAGCCATCAAACTTCAGAGGAGCAGAGTGGAGACTACTACAGAGGGGAATCTACTGCAGGGCAAAGCTTCTGCAAGGATGATGAGAGTCTGGGAAGACAGTATGGATGGAGAGTTGGGAATGCACTGAATGCTGCTGACTGCACCTCTGGTGTGTGGGTCACATGATGAGCATGCTATGTACACTCTGCCACAGTTTCAAGATGAAGGTAAGGTCTGAGTCAGGGAAGCTTGGGAGACATTGGGCAGTAGAAATGGTGGGTCATAGTCTACCTCTGGGGGAGGCAGGCCGCTGTGGGAACTGGGTCTTTAGCTGGAAAGAGTGAACAGAAGGTGGATGCCACACACACACACACACACACACACACACACACACACACTGCACGCATGCATGCACACACACACAATGCACACATGCATGTTTGATAAAGATCTGAATTTAAAGGGTTTAAAGAAATCTAGGTGAGTGGTGAAGAAGGCTTAAGCAAAACACATGAAATGTGAGCTGGTGTGGGAGTTAGAAACCTGGGATGTCACCTGGAAAGGCTGAGTAGCTCAAGGGAGAGCTGTGGGGAGGAGGGCGGCCTGCAGAATGCAGAGGGGCTGACTGCAGGCTCAAATGTCTGTCAAGATGCTGGCTATTACTTATGGCATGGCCAGGAGTCACCTGTGGTCACCTCTCTGCTCACTGGTTCCTATGCTCTAACCACAGGTAGTTAAGAATTTGCTGTATTCTAACACCTGCCCACCCAGGGCACATAGGTCATCAAGAGAAGACACGGCACCAAAGCAGTGAGAAAATAAAGAACTGGAGCATTAGAGAAGACTTTGAGTGTAGGGTTCCCTGCAAGAGGCCAACTCCTGGAAACAAGCAGAATACATTTCTAAGCAGTGAGAACATGCACTTCTACAGAAGAACTTTCAACTATATTAGAATGAAGGTGGAGTACTGAGCTTTCACAAGGGAAGGCAACATTTTCCTGCCATTCAACAGCCAGTCTGAGGAGTTCTGGATGGAAGGGCTCTTTTCACAAAGATCCAATACTCAGCGACTCACCTGCAGCTCACTGAAGGTCCACACTAGCCTCCTCCTAGCTTTGTTTTCAGTCTTGTTGACACTGTTTTGAGATAGGGTCTCACTATGACACTCACTGGCCTCCAACTCTGCCTGCCTCTCCCTCCTGACTTTTGGGACTAGAAGGTGTGTACCATCATACCTGGTTGACCTTTTGTTTTTAAAACACAGAAAACAGACTCAAGAAACAAGTCATGAATAACTTACTGCCCTCGTAAGTCGCTTAAAACAACAACAAACGTGTGTCTCATTACATTTAGCACTTCTACCTTCCAGACCCCAAAATGCCAAATGAAGGGACTGACTCAGACTAATCTTTCAATGAGTAGGTCTGAAGACTGTAATCAACCTCTTAGATTAAAATGCAAAATACTCTTTCACGCAGCAAATGACTGAAGCTTTTATACTACCCAGTGGTGAACAAGCACTACGGGACCGGCATCTCACACACACACTGGGAATTTTGTGGACAAAATCTGTAATGGGTTTTTTTTGCCATCTTCTGACACACTACTTCTCTTTGAATTCAGCTTAAGGAATGAACATGAACAATGACAACAACACTTTAGAAACAAGTTTATAGAAGAATTTGTTTGTGCTGCTCAAAAAGTTTAAGAACCCACAGAATGGAGTAATAGCTGACACTGAGAGCTGTGCCTTCCATTCCCACTAATGCTGGAACAAGGCAAGCACGGCCACATTCACCACCATCGTGGAACATATAATGACACTGAGGAAAGACAGGGTGGTGTAAGCATTGATCAAAGAAGGGGGGGGGGTTCCGTATGTGTATTAGAGAGTTAACTAGACACCCAGACATTCCAAACAACCTAAAAAGACACTGTACAGAGTAAGGAAAGCCAGAAGAGGAGTGTGATATGAAAGCACGAATCAAAAAGTAATAGCTTTTGTAGAAGCAACGATTGTCTCTAAGACATGGAAGAGTAGGCCCGGCTTACACCACCAACAGCAGCCAACCATCTGAGCCATCAACACACAAGAAGTGTGCCCAACCTCATGAGGGGAACCAGAAGTCATCCCTGAAGGAGACGAACACGGTCTCAGAAAGCAGGAGGGCACAGCATACATCTAAATAGGAGACTGTTAAGTACCCAACAAAGCCAACCCTCTCAAGGATACTTCCTCCCACCATGTGGTGCTAAGATGGAATCCAGGGTCTTACAAAGTACCTCACCACTGGGTTGTACCTGAAGCCCCATTAAACAGATATTTAAAATTTTAGTGGGACTCCAATTCAAATGCCAACAGTTCTTTCTACAATAAGATAAATCAATTCAAATTCTAGCCTATAATAATGTCAGTATTACTGATGCTGCAGTTGTTTTAGTCGAGAACACAGTCACATTTATAGTAAGGTGAGAAATCAAGATTTTTCCATTAATAAGAGATAAAACTGAGGGCTGGGTGGTGGTGGCACATGACTTTAATCCCAGTACTTGGGAGGCAGAGGGCTCTGAGAGTTCGAGGCCAGCCTGGTCTACAGAGTTGTTAGTTCTGGGATAGCCTAGATTACACAAAGAAACCCTGTCTCAAGAACAAAACAAAACAAAGAGAGAAAACTGAAAATCCTTGAAAATAAAACATTATAGTGTAAAATTTAAACAGAAAATATTAAGTGAATGCATTATTTAAAATAATGTATATTTGACTTCCCTTTAAGTTAAAAGTACTGTGTCCCAGTAACAATGAACATCCCCTCCCCAATCATGCACACGGCTTCTGACCTTCAATAGCGTTCTCCACTGAAAGGAACCAAGACTCTGAAAAACAGCTATGGTTAGGCTTGAGACAAGAAGGTATATAATGAGCCTGGGAGGCATCTCACCATAACAGAAATTGAGGCATCAAAAGTAAGTAAGGGAGATGTTCGGTGAGTACAGTGCCTGTCATGGAAGTATGAAGGACTGAGTTCAAATCACCAGGCCATGTAAAAATGTAATTCCAGTGGTGCTCTGGAGAGATGGGAGGCAGAGACAGAGAGCCCTTGGGTCAGCTAGCTCACTGTATCATCAAATAAAAGACCCTGCTTCCAACAAGGTGGAAGGTGAAGGCTGATAGCTGAAGTTGCCTATGACCTCCATACATGTGCCATGATGCACACCAATGCTCCACACATAAATGTACATATGCATACGAACCCACATCTCACATACACACATGTGCACAAACACACAAATAAAATAAGTGAAAACATGTCCCACGATACACAAGGTGGGCTGGAGAGACAGCTCAGAGGTTAAGG